AGCCTCAGTTTGTTTTAACACCTATTTATTACCACCATAATATGAGAAATTTGGAAAATACAAAGATCAGCTTATTTATATGTCTGAAAATCTCGAGGAATAAGAAAAATATAAAAGAAAACAAATATGAGGTTATATTGTGTATCACAAATTTTGAGAAAGGGACAGATTTAATGCTCAGATCTACAGAGACTGCAGGAGACACACAGACCCTAAACATGCAGAGTAACTTCCACTAGGATGTCAATTCATACTGTTGTGACGAGTCTACCGGCGGTCTGTGGCCACAGAGACAGAAGCGTAAAGTGTGAGGACTGATCTACAGCGAACAACTGAATAGAGGAGACGGTGAAGCACCGCGCTGCGTGGCTGCCATTAGAATGGTGTTTCCTTGGAAAACAGAGAAGCCCTTCCTGATTTAACAAATCACATCACTGTAAAAAGAAAAAACTGATAATCATGTCGACAATATCAATTGCTTTTTTTCTTTTTTGATAATTTTGGAAGTGGTAAAGGAAGAGATGCTCCTCCATGAATTATATGTGTAAAAAAAATAGACACCATATCCACAACAATAATCAATATTTTTAAGCAACCAAGAGATTCTTGTTTGTTGAGTACAACTGGTTTGGCAGATCGGAGCTCACAGGTCCACACAAACAGACCAGCAGTCCATCCCCTCCCAGAGCAGATCACACAGGTGAAGGAGGCGGACTGGAAAGGTAAGGCGAGCCATCGGGCTGCAGCTGCAGAGCAACAGGGGAGTTTGGGTGCAGAGGGACGGACTGGGTGGGAGAGGAGGAGGGTGTCCAGAGGGTGCCCGGGCCTCGGGACTAGTTTTAATAGCACCCTGCTGTGGAAGTTGCAGCTCCCCTTAAGCAGACTAGTCCCTTGGCCGTGTCCCTCTGCTTTGACTCTGTTTGCCACACAAACTGCACCCACTGACCTTCATGTTGTGAAGCACCACCCAAACCAGCGATGCACGTTTGAGTATGTGTGTACATGCGCGTCTGATCTGCGAAACCTTTTACATGCACGAAAAAGGTACCCTAAAAACATTTGGTGAAGACAAAAAATCTATGAGAGACCAGACTTCAACATATTTCTATCTCTTCATAATCAGGATTACTCTAAAGTCTACTGAGAAGGTGGACAGGCTGGGGGCGGAGGGCAACAGGGATGGGAGGAGGTGGGCAGCTGGGGTAAGACACAGGAGCCAGGGCAGGGACGGGTAAAGAAAAACTGGACACAGGTGAAACATCAGAGAGGCCGTCTAGGCGCGCTCTCCACGGATGCGGCGTGCCAGCTGGATGTCTTTGGGCATGATGGTGACACGCTTGGCATGGATGGCACACAGGTTAGTGTCCTCGAACAGACCCACCAGGTACGCCTCGCTGGCCTCCTGAGCAGACAAGAGGGACGACACACGTTTGTAGCAGAGCTGTGTTTGAAGTTGCACTAATGTGAGCTGTGACGCTACGGCTAACGAACCTGCAGGGCTCCGATGGCGGCGCTCTGGAAACGCAGATCAGTCTTGAAGTCCTGAGCGATCTCTCTCACCAGGCGCTGAAAGGGCAGCTTACGGATCAGCAGCTCAGTGGACTTCTGGTACCGACGGATCTCTCTCAAAGCCACGGTACCGGGCCTGAAACACACAACCAAGCTCTAGGTCAATACACCATTTAAATACGAATTAACTGCCAAGGAATTGGTACTTTATTCAGGACTGATTATCAGAAAAATGCTGAATACGGGATGTGATCATTGGTCAGAACTAGTTCTGAGTGAACGTCATTAGAGAGAAGAAGCAGCCAGAAATCTTCAAAATGAGAATATAAATCTCAAATGTAAGTCAGCAATGCTTAACAAAAATACCAACACAGATGAACAAAGAGCATTACAGCATTTTCAGAATGAGCGTTACCTGTAGCGATGGGGCTTCTTGACGCCGCCGGTGGACGGGGCGCTCTTACGGGCAGCCTTGGTGGCCAGCTGCTTACGAGGAGCCTTTCCTCCGGTGGACTTACGAGCAGTCTGCTTGGTACGAGCCATGACGACAGAGAATCACCTGAAGGGAACACAAAGAGAACAACATCAGAAAAGCTGCTGTTTAAACACGTTCTATACATGCATTATCAGTTTCACTCTTTTACATCCTAATAACATCTCGGAGGAAATATGAGATAGATTTTTTTTCTATTTATTTATTGAGACATTTAACACCAACACTTTAATAACAGCTCACAGTATTGTGCTTCTATGTTTGTGTCTTGAGCAGTAAAAGGTTGTCAGACAATTAAAAATAAGTAATTACACTCAGTCTAGCTGCTGTGTTCTCGCTGTTGTTCTGATGCTGGATCCTAAACGCGGTGCTGGACGTCTGCAGAACGCAGACAGAACTCAACAGAACTCAGCCCGGACCGTCTCCATCACACTTCTCTGTCTCCATCCAGCTCCAAGCGTTTCATCTGCACTTATATTCAGGCTCCTGGGAAAACTTTTCCCTCAGGTTTGGCAGCAGCACAAACACACCGCGCCGGGCCAATCAACACACTGCGGGCTCCTGATCCCACCAATCACAGGGCAGCGTCCCAAAACGCACCAATCCGTGGCGCCGCTGCCGTCCTTCCGGACCAATGGTGTCTCGTGATGGAGGCTTTAGGGCGGGACGAGCGGCCCCAAGTCCCGCCTCATACCGCAAGATTATGGCCGCAGACCGAAACGAAGCTACCGACACACGGGCAGTGAGCGGGACGTAAACTTTGACATTTTCCCACTAAAAGACAAAACGTGAGCCCATAAGACCTCCAGCAACAAGCAGGAGACACGTGTAGCTCCCAGAAAACGCTCACAGGCCTGAGAACCGATGGTAGATAAGAGCCCAGAAGCGAGCTCGAAGCCGCCGCTCAAAGTGGAGCAGACACTCCGGCAGTGGAAGTACGGAGCCGTTCTTCTGTGTGGCCGGGCATCGGGCAGCTGCTTCCCTCCTCACTACCGCGTCCAAATAACACGTTATTACCGCTCAAAAACAACTTTATACGTCCACTTTTCTTCACTAAACGGTGAACAATACGATGTGGTTTGAAAAGTGTGAGAGAAATTTGACTTACCGAGGGTGAATTTGAGGCTTTTTCTCCGCGGAGGATACAAGTGTTGTGGTTGTCTGGCAGTGTCAGATATTTACTATCTCTCACACAATGGAAGCGGAGCGAGCAGGAGCAAAATGGCGCCCGCGTCAATCATCTGGCTCCCACAATGCACCGCCGGCGTTTGTAAACATTGTAACTTCATTCCCTCCGTTTGCACACAGCGGGGCGTCTGGACCCGGTCTGGACCCGGTCCGGACCGTAGTCTGGTTCTGATGTGTGGTCTGCCTGCTGCCCTGTTGGCCCGATTTAATGGTTCCCCCGAAAATTTACATTAAAAAATATATAAGAAAACAGAAAGAAAATAAATTCAGGAAG